AATATTTTTAAACGACATGGCATTACGCCCTGAGGAAGGTCCCAGGATGGCGACCGAAACGTCGGCAACTTCGCCATGGACGCGGCGTCACTCGGACAGCCTAGTAAATACTGACTCCGGCCGCGGAAGCCTAAGATCTCAACAGATTGCTTACTAATCATTGTAGAGATTGGAAAGATGAAAGCAATTTCCAGTTCTCTGGGACCTCCTGACAGGCTTCGGAGAGGTAGGTAAGCGTATTCTGCACGATTGCAAATTCGCATATACAGCAGCATAATAAGCGAAGAGGCGTCCTCCTCACCTGGTCACAGGCAAGAACACACAGGTCATAGAGCTTCTGAATCGGAGGACGCCCTAGCATATTTTGCCCATAGAGTACAAAGTGTATTTCTCCTCTATGATTCTACCGAGTGGTTACTGGTTTGCTAAAAAATACTCAATAGTGATGTATCAAAATTAGAAAGAAAATGAGATAGAAAGAAAATGAGAATAAAAAATATATAAAATGCGGAAAATTCAATGTAAGCACTTTTAGGCCTTTAACGCTTCAATAGGTATTATTTCTAAAATAGAAATTTATAGTCAATATAAAATCCCCGTAAAAGCCTTTTCTTAGGTAAACATGGATAGTAGGGCTCTAGTAATACGTGAATATAACTATTTATAATTATATAAGACAGTCTATAGTGCTGTAGCACCACTAATTTAACATATTGTACAGAAGTATTCTTTTTCAGGTCTGTAACTCCTTGGGAGATTTCACCTCGTCTGACTGGACAATATTTTTACGGCACTGATACCATCCACATTCCACCTCATTCAACCTTTAATTACGAGGTGACATACACTCCCCTAGTGATGACAGTTGGTGATAAAACTCATAAAGTTAGTGGTGAATTTTATTTTACACTTTTTTTGTACTATATTGGTTTCCGAAACACATGGAGTACCTTACATACTATACTCATACAATAAATGGATATGTGAGCTGTTTTGTATTACAGTTGAAAACAATTTTGTAGTGACTTAGTGACGAGCTTTTGGAAATAACAGTTTTATTGTTTCTCTTGATAGGGATCTGTTGTTTTCTGCATACCCGAAGGACAGGCATTAGCCTACGACCTAATTGGCACTGCAGACAAACCACTTTGTTCTGGGAAAATAATTACAGAGATCCATTGTAAGGAAAGCCACACTCAATTATTACCAATATCAAATTGGTTGACAACGTCACAGAGATTTATGATTTCAAATGAAGTGGGGAAATTTGAAAAATTTGATCCTGTAGTGGAGATATCGGGAAATGAATATATAGATGTACCAGGAAAGGCAGAACGTGAATATAAGTGGACAGTATTCTGTTACAAAGAATGTACACTAAATGTAAAGGTAAGTTTAATTTTGCCTATTATTTTCAGAAATTATGATTTGCTATTAAAATTTGGGCCATCAGCGACGTGGCATCTATTTAAGCAGTGTAACAAGCGTTTTCCTTTTGAAAAATCATGGATAAATCGTTTTATATTGATAGACAATAAAATAATAATTTCATTGCGAAAATGTTTCTTTATTTTGATAGAATTTTAGAATTTGTATGCTTTATTTTAACACCTGAACACATTTAGATCATTTTAAAATCGACCTTGGCCCGCCTTCCGCTCTCCCACATTATGAGTATAGGCGGCATCCTCGGTATTTGCTAGAATTGTACAAGCTGAGACGATATGATCAATGGTTTCTACGTGTTCTACTGCTGGATGGATAGATCCATCGCCAAACTACATCGGCTTGCGGAGATTTTCCCCAACCTGGTATCTCCTAAAAGTGTGACACCGTCTGAGCGACGACAAGCTCTAAGCTCCTGTCTGGTCCTCCGACACGTCTAGTGTAGTGCATGTAAGAGTAAGTAAGGAGTGAAGATAGGACAAGAAGGAGGAAGAATGATCGCGCAGTCCATAGCTCGTTTATTAGGGTACTGCTCCGGCATTTGCGTGGAGTTGATCGGAGAAACTACGAAATACTACCGATCAGAGCAGAAAATTCTTCTCCAGACAGAGGCTGAATTAACTTAGCTATGTTGCCAGTTAGCTAGTGTCGAAAATCCTGCTACCATCTGAACCCGTACCCTAGGACTTCTAGGGTAGTGCTCGGAGACACAACAGTCTCATCAATTTATGACCTGTGCCACGTAAGTCAGTGAGAACGAGAGAGAGGGACATAAATTTGAAAGTCCCCCAGACTCCGCGAATATTTATTGTTTGCATTTCCTTGTGCGACTGTCTGGAGTTGGTGTGATTGGCAATACAGAAGTTGATCCTTTGCCAATCATCGATGAGGGATTACTAATAGAAACTGCTTAATATTGGAAACGGTCAAGCCACGCCACTGTTAGCTGTTGCGAAGAATACAATGATGAGATTTAAATTATAGTTTGTTGTTATTGTCTAAATAAAAATAACATTTTTCAATGAAATAAATGTATGAAAACATATTTAATGGCTAAATACTTTATTTCCAGGTAGTTTTCAAGAATACTGAATCTAAAGAATATCTCTTTTATGAATTGGTTTTAAAAGTCCTTAAAAGAGGTCCTTTGGATATTATCAAGTTTTGTACACCAGTTCGACAATCAATAACTCGTAAGATAAATTTGCAAAACCCCCTTGGTTCCGATGTGAACTTTACTTTGCACTGTAGTTCTCCTGAAATCCAGTGTAAAACTCCAATCGTTGTTCAGGCTTATTCTAAGGTAAAGAAAGTAAAATGAAGGGGGAATTGAATTTTATAAAACGAAATTAAATGAACTTATTTCCATTAAACCACTTATTACAATATTTGTTTTTGTGTTTTCTTTGCTTGCAGTCTGTACCCATTAATATTAAATATACTCCTCTTTTCACTGGAGAATCTACGATATCAATGGACTTGCAGAGCTTTGAGCTTGGAAATTTCCCATACGAATTAGAACTAAAAGCGTTGCCCCCAATACCTGAGAACTTACTTAAATGCTCCACCAGCGTAGGACAATCTGCTACAATGGAAGCACCCATATGCAATTTGACAAAAAACAGAGCTGAATTCTCCTGCAAGGTATGTAACGTTCTATTTCATCATGAAGATTAAGATTGTGTGTATCAAATGATGGGCGACACTGCCGGGTGGACGGCAGGGTGGCTTGTCACATTGCCTCCCCCAATATTGATTGTGATTTTGAGTAATATAGACGCCCCAAATAATGTGGTAGTAGTGAAGTTCATGTATTACAGTTATGTTATTGGTGAGAACTGCCCCCGCTCCTGCTCTGCTATCAAACCCTAAGTAGACGTTACATTTTTTAATGCCACATTATTTCAAATCGATGGAGGAAGGAACGTGTGACGTATGCACAAAAACACATACCTGCATTTAATTAATGCAAACAACAAGGAAAATAAATATTTAACATAAAAATTATATGATATTTTCTCACAGCCCTTTCGCATTGTAATTCAAAATTGAGTCATACATTTAACCTCGCACAGTCGTGTTAATTTTAATCTTAAGTTTAATGTCTTTAAAGAGGTTCGTCAACCTTTTGTGTTGTGGGCATTACCCTTCGCAAGTAGTAGCTATGTCTGAGCTCTAGTTCAGACATCAGTTGCCCCCCCCCCCACAGTGGACGTAGACGTTGCTTCCAGTACCGTCTATCGTGGCCCGTTTTCAGTGTGATAGCATCAGGAGTGCCCAAAGAACTATCTTCTTTGGCAGTCGATCACTGTCCAACCTTCTTAAATGCCCAAATCATAATAGATCTTTTGTTTCTTTCAGTTCTAAGGTTGATTTTCAAGGTTTAGTTATTTTTATTATTCTTTGAATTTTAATTCTTTCCTTGCTTGTAACCTATTAACGTCTCCAATATTCCATTTCTGTTTTTTTTTGGATCCTACTTTTATCCCCGGTATTAATTGTCCATAACTCAGCTCCATATGTGAATAGACTTTCAACAATTATTTTACATAGAATAATTTTTGTGTTTCTTTTTATGCTTGAATTCCATGTCATTGGATGTAAATATCTTATAACTTGCCAGCCTCTATTTGTTTTGATCAGGACATCTTTGCTATCACGACCATCACTTGTTACACTCAGAAAATTGAATTCCTTTTTTGAACTATTTTTTTATTAGACTTAAAAATATCTCCAAAGTCTTTTACAAACTAATTACAGAAATGCCATGAAAAAAACTTATTTATTATGTTTGCAGATTGATCAAGGTGATAATCATGATTTTGAAACTGATAAACAAGTAACATTAGCAGGTAATTCTCAAGGAAATGTTATTATCACTTTTGAACCGACAACCATGGGGAATATAAGTGCTACATTGAAAGTTTCATCACCAACTGCTGGAGAATTTATGTAAGTAGTTAAAATTGTCAAGTCATTTTATTGTTTTGCAACCAACATAGTAGAGGAGGTTGTTCATGCATTAATTGATGATTTTAGATTTCCTTTGCTGGGAACTGCTTCAGAACCTATGCCTCAAGGACCTTTTTCCATTAAAATGGGAGGTAGCATCACTATTGCATTCAAAAATATATTTAACGATAAACAGATGTTTACTTATTTTGTAGATAATCCTCTCTTTACCATCAAGGCAAGCAATGAGGGTATACGGCCGAAAAAGGTATTTATATTTTTGAATTCTGTAACTGTGTATTCTCATATATATTAGTGTTAACGTTTTAATTTCGTCCTCTTATTACAGGACACTCGCATTGTCATAAATTTTCCGAAGAATTCAGAATTATCCGTACCTGTAACTGGTAAACTAATTGTATTTTCTACTTCACCTTCTTTATCTCACATTAAGTGGATATACTACCTAAAAGGTGTCGATATCAATTAAATATTCGTAGTGCTAAAATGATTTATTTCAGTGATATTTCAGGTATTGAAAGTGAAGATTGGCAAATTGAAATAGTCTTACATTGGTTTTACTGATGGAATTTAAAGTCGGGGGTGTAGTAGTGCTATCACTAGAAGGAGTGAAGGGATTTTAAATCAAATTTCACAAATAATATAATATCATATTTTATTTTGAACAGCTCATCGTCTAACATATTTACAGAGTTATGTACATTAACAACATTTAAATGAGATGATAATAGGGTGTTTCGTAAAATTGAAAAAAATCAGAAAATTAATGCAGTGAAGATCGAATTTTCAATTAACAGAGCAGAATCTGCCAGTAGTAAGAAGCCAAGAAGTAAATTTCGAAGTCAGCAAGGAAAGGGGGAATAAAGGAGAGGAAAGTAAATGATTAAATTGACGCTTCTAAAGAGAAAATTTCGTGTCAAGGATTGAGGATCTTCTTAGGCGAAGAATCGAGGCTGTTCCTGTAGCCTGCCGGTAGGTCGCTGACCATTTTTCGAAGGGAGCCTTTTTATGTTGCCGGACGAGAGGTGCGCGCGGGTGGGGGTGGGGGTGGGTTCAGAAGAGGCGGATGAAGGGCGAGCCGTAGGAGTAGATGGGCGCGCGGATGGGCTCCACGTCCATGTACTGCAGCTGGGCGTAGCCGGAGTTGCGGATGGGGGCGGCGGCCGGCGGCGGCACGGCCGGGTTGGTGCTGTAGGCGACGCGCTGCAGGCGGCCGTCGGGCAGCAGCACGTAGTAGACGCCCGCGGGAGCGCCTTCCTCGTCGGCGCCGGCTACTTGCTGCGAGCCGCGCGCGCCGTCGGCGAACTCGTTGCTCTCCTGTCGGACACACGCGCTGACTCAGAAAGGGGGGTCGTAGGTCGCTCGAGAGAGAGACGAAGTATTGACTCCTGGTGCGTCGACTACTCAGGTCACTAGTTCCCAAAGTGTGGGGCGTGCTACAGTCCGGAATGTGGCGGTGTTCCTTCCACGTTGGAACATGCGTCGACATTCACGTCGGATTACGACGATTTTCTTCCTGCAAGTTTCTGTTGTTAGGGAAGTACTACTCCGACATTTCCCTGGTGTTGATCGGAAAAAAACACGGAAAACTATCAATCAGGCCGCTAGAATTATCCAGACTGGCTGAATTTGATTCAGCTGAGTAGCAACTATCAAAAATCCGCGAGCACCCTGGATGTTGCCGCTAAGCTATCTCTCCCGGTTTGGACCCTCCAATTCGTGTGAAAGACGCAACTCGCGCCCGCCTCGCTCGACTGAGTAGCGCTGAATTCATTGCTGTTAAATTGGTGTAGAAGAAACAGAACTCTGTGAATTCTATAGCTCACCGATTTCTGTAGGCACATCTACATAGCATGAGAAGAATGGAAGAAGACAAAACTAAACCCTTTACTGGCAAATGCCACATGTATTACATCGTTGTATTAAATTTATCCCCACATGTTCATTGGTGAAAAGTGATAATTTTCGATTCCTCTACATCCCATAGAAGTTTGTAACATTTATACCGAGACCTGTAGGTGTTAATTTCTGGAGAGCAATAGTATCTATTAACCCGGGGAAAAGGGCGAGGCAGACTCACCTCGGGCTGCTCGGTGGTGGGCACCTCGGTGGTGGTGGGCTCCTCGGTGGGGGGCTCGGTGGCGGCCTCAGTGCTGGGCGGCCCGTACTCCACGGGCGGCGGCACGTAGTAGTTGGTCTGGCGCGCGGGCAGCAGGAACTGGCGGCCGGAGGGCCTCCAGCCGGACGGCGGGTAGGGCGCCTCGTTGGCCTCGGCCGGCGCGCCGTACTCGTTGCTGAGGCGCGCGGGGGCGCGGTACACGGGGGCTTCGGGCGCCGCCAGCGCGGCCACCGCCACGGCGCACAGGACGACCAGGACCTGCGAGGGGACATTGGGTATTAATCCTGGAATGACAAGGGGGCGGGGCCCAAGGATCAGCGAGGATTGTTTTTTATTATTTGTTTGTGTGAAACGACCAAGACCTGCGGTGACATTGAATATTAACCATATTAACCATGACCAAAAGAGAGGTTTCTGAGGCCCGCCGATGACTATTATTTATAGAACGAGCAGGACCTGCGCAAATACACGGGATGGGGAGTCATTGAGTATTTACCCTAGCATGACCGGTGGCGAGGGGGAGGAAAGCACAAAGATGAATATTTAGTTTCTGTGGGTTTCAGTGTTTTAGGAAGCTGAAGATCATTGGTATTGCTTATGGCGTGCATGTTGTCCAATATATGACGGAATTCCCACAAGTGTTTGTTAGCGTTTTAATTTTTTACAGCGTCTGTGGTTGTGGGTAAAACAATCGTGATTAATCGATCCGAAAACCGAAATTTCAGAATAAATTTTGAAACTACGAGTATTTGTGGTATATTTTAAATCTTAGTCAAGAACAGTTTAATACATTGGTATGATCAGGAGATGCGTACGTCTTTATTTCATCTAAAAACGCAATAAGTTTTTTCATATATGTATTTTCATAATTAAATAATAGTATATTGAATGCGAATATAATGCGAATATTGTTACGAAAATTTTTTGTTTTAATTGCAGAACTTGCAAATGAAACGTTTTTAATACGAAAAAATGAATATTATGTGGTAATTATATTTGTTAATTTAGAAAAATTGCTGCAACGGTCCGGTCAAATGTTATGCAACGTTCCTTTCGCAGATTTGATTATATCTAGAAGCGAAAGAAAAAACAGCTTGCAACAGCATATATTTTTCACTTCATACTGAGGAATAGTGAGCAAATTAATAAACAGCAATAAGTATCTCAATACCTCGTAATTCAAGAAATTGAATGAGAATGAATATAAATAATTGCTTTGGAAGTATCCAGAGGCTCATTTGCTGAAGAGCTAGTGACGTAATTACAAGGTTGGGTGTATCAAAAATCACAGGAGATGATTTAGGTAGGGAAACTGCAATATGTGAAAACGTTGCCAGTTCGTTTGCTAGCTCGTCATGCAGTGTTTGTCATGATGTTGGGGATGGTGAAACTCTCAATATACAAGAAAGACAACGGACACACACAAATATCCATACACATTCTAGATTGAAAATTTGTTTCAAAATGTTTGTACTTTACAATCAACTATTCGTTTTATAATGGTAACCACATCTGTATTACGATAATATTACGTTGACGAGGTGTTGAGGTTGCATCTACCTTGTATGAATTACATCAAATCTATTCTTGGAGAAATATTTGAAAAGAGTCTCTGAACCAGCCTTTTACGAATTCCTTGATATATTGTATCTGTAGAATTTTTAAATTAATAGATATATCCTTTTTCTCCATATCAGCTGCTTTTTTAATCGTCCATATGATTATATGTTCGTTACGTGCTATATTCGTAGTTTAACCCGACGTCGGGTATAGAAAGTCAATTTTATGGCAAATAATCATGATTCATCAATCAAATCTTTTTTGAAACGGGATACGTAAAAAATGCGGTTGACACGAGTTACATCTCCAGGAAAAGTTTGACTGATTCATTCATAATTTTAACAAAGTAGATATTTTTACAAGAAATGTGGAGAATTGATATTATTTTAAAATGAAAAGCAAATAACTGCCAATTTTAACTTGCGAGCTACTTTCAAATTTTATTGTCATTTTCTAAATTCTTGAGATAAATTTTAAGTAATTATTTCACTATAATAATTCTTGTTATTCTTCGAGTATTTCGAATTAAAATCTAATTCTATCGATCGAACCCCATTTGGTGCAACTTTGCACTGTAAGCTGGCTCTCTACCCCTATGCTAGTGATTGGTACCACTCGGGCGGCTGAAACGTACCTTCATGGCTGCTTGGTGGAGGGTGGAGTGGGTGGCTGTGGAGCTGCTAGAAGCTGCTGAATGCAACTGATGCCAGTCATCGGCGCCTCCACCCTTTTATACTGGCCGATGCCCACCTCGTGGCCATCGAATCGCCAGCTGACATTGGCCCCATAACATTACATCATAGCGAGTATTGTGCGTGTTGGTGACACACCCGCGGCTTCCGACGTGATGTACATGGCAATGCATCCAGGGGGCTTTCCCGAACAAGCAAGCATTGGTGATCGAGTCACCCAACGCATGGGCACTCATAGAAGGGTGCCCCTAGGATCATTTCTTCTCAAAAAAGAATCTTTTAACTTTGGCTACGTGTATTCTGATAATTGTAAATAATAAAGATTAATAAAGGTAGAAGTAATATTTCAATTTTGCCCAATTATGGACATCGGACAACGTAGGAATATATGATCCCAATCCTTTCATATAAGAGTGAATGAATAATAACTGAATATATCTGAATATAATAACTGAATGAAATATCACCCGAGAGAGAAAACAACCGAAGATAGCATGGAATGTAGCTTCATATTACATCGTATGTACCTAATGAGAAAACTTGCAAATGTTCATCCTCTGACAGTGTGAAATGTTTTTTTTGTTTTAATGCAAACCGTAATGTATCTAGACGCAACGGAGCTGCCGGTGGAAGTGGGACGTAGCAGAATTGTAAAAACAAAATTGGGTGTATTTTATAGAAAAAAGCAACAAACAACATTTCTTTTCCAAGAACAACTCACTTTTTCAGTGCCAGGGACTCATAATGCAAGTTTTGTGTCAAAAATGTCCATTTTTGCTCCAGCGTCATCTATAGTATGCAAGAACAATGCAGAAGAATGCAGTTGCATAGATCCAAAATGTGAAACTTGCAGTTGCACGGATCCAAAATGTGGCAATTTTCGAACTTTCAATGATTTTAACGAAAATAGAAGCTGTATATTTGTAAATTCGCACTTTTCTTTGAACGAAAAAAATTAAAGAATTTACTTTTGTATCCTTGTTTCATTTTTTAATGAAATATTTAATTGTATGGCGCGTCATACAGTCACAGCATGAAAACAATGTTTAACAAGTAAAAATATATGACTACTCATTGCATTGTACACAACGTATTGTCTATTTTCCTTTCTCTCGTTTCCAGCATATTGTGGTTATCGCAGGTAGGGCTTCACAGAAACTCCGCGCGAGTAAGGGCGTTCGGACTGATTCCATGAGTAACGGAGTTTTAATCATGTAACAACGGTAATAATGCATTTGTCAGAGTCGTTTTCAAGCCTTATGCAGAGCAAACTAGAGCACTGCCGCAAGATAATTGGGCGGGAGATGGGTTTTCGCCTGTTTTTGCCAAAGGACCACAATGTCGTTCTTTTTCAGCGCACTCTGTCGCCTAAAATATTCGTCAAAAATTTAAGTTAATGTATTAATTTTGTTAATAACTTTGTTTACTATAGCGTTCTATGCGAAGATCATTTCCATGCAGCACATACTTGTCGCGATATAAGCAGAAAACTGAAAAAGTGCGACATTTTTAGGTTTTTGTTTGCAATTTCCTTTTTTAAAATTTAATTTATTTATAATGGTCGCATAAACATCTAGGTCTTGAGCGATCACAAGCTTGTAATACTGAATGACATATATTTACAAAGTATTTCTGTAGTAAGGTACTATATGACAAATACATGTGGTTATTATACATACTATACATTATTATGGATAGGTCAGACACTTATCCTGGAGGAAGATATCAAATAGATATTCTTTTACTGATACATGATCTGAGTTTGAAATAGTAATAGTAGTACAAACCATAGATTTGCATAAGAAAATTATATGTAAACAATAATTCTGAATGAATAAAAGCATCTCAAGAACCATCATTCATGTAGTTATAGAGATTAACTCTATATTTTGGAGTGTTTGGGTGATTGCAATTTTCTTTGTAAAACCGTGATGACAAATCTGAAATTTGAAATGAGCAACCCTCTTCAGAAAACTCTGAAAAAACACCATCCGAAATTTTTTCCTGAATCTTCCCTTGCACGAGGTGACTGGACGTGCAGATAGCCCTTAAACCAAATAAGCTTAAAGAGACCGAAATGTAGTAGGTGTCTGCATGATTTTTATTTGTGAAATAACAAGACCTTTAAGTAGTTGAAAAGCATTAGAGGACTCCAGAAAATAATGATATTATGCATGTATTATTGATTAATTATATTAATGATTGAATAATTTGATAAATGTCATATTAAAAAATAGTATATTCACGTATTAATTTTCTTGTACTTCGTTGTGCTTCGTTCAGTATTTCATTGTGCTTTGCAAATATAATGAATATAGCTCCTTCGATGCTTTCAAAAAATATATACAGAAGAAAGCAGGGATCGTTCTAACGGTTGAAGCATTTTACTACATTTAGTTGTTGGAATTAATAGTTAGGTTAGTGGTACACAGAGGCCGCAGTGTCCGAAAGACGGAATGAAATAGTGTCTAAGTGTTTCTGAACCTGGATGAGTGAAAGCGTTTCCAAGCAGTAGACAGTCAACCGAGAAAAAAAGGCTCCTGAAAAGGAAAACGACGACGAGGTTGGTAAAAATGTCATTAATCAATTTATAAAATTTTAGTTTTAAGCAAAATTTTAAAAAATGCTTCTCTAGCAGGGAACAATGGGCTAAAACGTCTGCTTCCTGTGCGATACTCGACGTTGATCTTCGGCTCTTATAGGTTATTTTTTGTTTCGAACCGATAGTGTTTATGTAAGATGGAATTGCGTAATTTTTCCGATTTGGTGACTATTTATGAATAACAGTATAAACAATATATACTACACGCTTGCGATTCATATACTAGAGATATTGCAACTATGTACATGTTGATGTATTCATTGCTATTTCTTTTATTATCTGATAAGCTACCTCTATTATTAGCTATTATATGATAAGAATACTTTAGTTTTGTGAAAGGGATTAAATCCACATCGTCTCCTATATTATTTCAGTAGTGTACATAATTTTTGCGGCTTTCACACGCAACCGGTATTTATAAATGAAGTCTTTAAAGAAAGAATTTCACGGAGAAGTGACGAATTGCTATTTGACATTAAAAATACGAAGAATTTGTTTAAAAAGGCATCTAAATATGCATATCAAATGCACCCGCAGCAATCAGTCAATTATTACGTTAAATAACTCCCAAATAAAACTTTCTAGGGTCTTAAAAACTAAACTTTTGAAGCCAAATGCCTCAAAGAAACGTTACTCATACTGTAAGCTACATGATGAGATATTCTTAGACATTCTATTGAATTTTTGTGGTTGGGTTCTTATCGATACTAGCTATGCCACCTAAATTTTAACCCTTGGTGAAGATGGCCATCTTTGTGAAATCACGCTTAGAAGGCTTAGATTCCCCTACTTTATACTATTTACGCTATTTATTAATTCAAGACGCATCACTCGCAACAACTGGAAGTACTATTAATAGTTTCTTGATTTCGATGAAGATAGTTTCTTTCGCGCGTAATGAAAACATTCATTTAACGTTTTGTCGAGGTCCATAAGTGCTTGGTGTCTAATTGTGTAGGTATGTGTGAGTACAATGAAGAATGAAGACATGTCTGGTTAGGTTTGGTTTGCGTTTTTCCTGTACCAGTATTTTCATTATCAGCGGTGATTTGGTGAAACTTTAAAGTCAGCGTGATCAGACACAGAGCATTCTCAAGAATAAAGAGCTTTTTTAATATTTTTGTTCCTTTATTTTTTGATATTCTGTAGTAGTTGGAAGTTATCTTTTTACATTTTTAAGCAAATAGATTTTGTTAACAACTTTCACTCTTAAAATAGAACGATAGGAATGAATGTGGGGTTTAACATGACAGTTCTTGCACGGATACGCGGAGGTAGTAGGGGAAAACTTGTGTTATAGCACAACACAACGAATAAAGTTTTAAAATTAACTGAAGTGAAGTAGCTTGAAATAAATGAACAACAAAAATTAAAACGCGCTTGCCTAGAATTAATTAATTTTAATTAAGCTGAATTAATTTTAAAAAAGCAACTACATTTGAAATTATAGAAAGAATAGCACAAGTCACTCGACAACTATCAATGATCACAATCCAGACGCAAGATTTGAATGGTGGCGGTACTTGGAAGTCTATACATCAATTCCCAGCTATAAACTCATATTGTAAATACTACACCGTTTGTTATTAAACTTAAGGTGTCGGTTCGCAAAAAGAATTTAATACGTAAATATCGTTTGAGCAACATTCCCGCGTACTATAGTAAAGACTTAAGTCTACTGAATTGTTTCTAATAGTAACAAATGGTATTTATTACTCAAAGGTGATACTATGTTTTATTACTTGTTGGATCGAAATTTCTTGAGGAAAATAATCGAATACTTTTTAGTGTATAAATAATTTTTCAATTTTCGCACCCCAGCAAGCTGCGCCCTGCCCCTCCAAACCCCCCTCTGTTCTTCATAACAAATCCAGGAAAGTTAAATATTGCAAAGAGTAGAGTTGTACTTGCCCGATCCTGTATTTTCGCATGGTAAACTTTACTTGCCTTCCTCAAGAGTAAAACCTTTTCTAATATTGTTGTGACCATCAAGGAAAGCGAAAAGCTAACTGACAAGGAAGAGTGAATAATTACATCAAATGTTTTTTTAAGTGAATTGTGTTTTTTAAGTGAATTGTTCGAAACATGTATCTATATAATTCTGAATAAACCTTTATTGAAAATTTGTTTCGATCAATTGCATTGTTTTTATTTTTGTTTGATATTTGAAGTAAGGTAAGTACGAAGTTATATTTGTACATTGCTTAACAAACACGTTTCATTAACAACTTTCCTTCTTAATGGAAAGAATAGGGAAAGGATGGGGATTAACACGTGAGAGTTCTCGCACTGGTACGCTTGGATTTCTTAATGAGTCATTAGTTACATAAATGGCATTCGTAGAGAATCATTTATAATAAAATATGATACATTTATCCATAATTCCTTGGCATAATGCGAGATTTTAAGGGTGGGAAATCAGAGATCGCTGTGTGTTTTCCTTGAATATTTGTAATAAATGTAGAGCCCATTGTAGCTTACTACCCAGTGTAATACTTACAGCTTCAAGTCTTTCGAATACCACAGATCAAATACAAGCACAGTACTCACAGATGTATGTTCATGTTCATTTTATAACACTTGGTGTAAATGATGACAAAAACAAAATTATTGGTTGCCGGAGCCTCGTTAGTAGCTCAAAGGCGATCCGCAGATGAGGTGTTGCGGTTGCTACACCCAATAAACTGAAGTACGTGGTTTTAATAATAATATAGGATTGTCATTATTATCAGAACTTTGTAATAGACCTACCAAAATATTTTTATTTACTTTTTATTACTTCTGCATAATTTAAAATCTGTTCTTGTTAGAACAATAAGTAAATGGTGTCTAATTATTACATTTCAGACGTGAATTTTTGTGTCATTGAAAATTTCATTTAAGAAATCGATATGGAAAATCTAAAATATTATCTTGTTTCAGTCTATATTCATGTTCACTGTTGTCTAGCAGGTTTGTTGAATGGTTATTTGGATGCTTGTACAATCTCTTCTGGTAAGCTCGGCTCTTCGTGGCGATATCATCTAGCAGGATGATGTCGACTTTGATCAACGCACCATGGTGCGTTGCATAGTTTTCTTAATGTTTTAGCTTCGAATATTTTTATAATTTCTAGATTCGATTTACTAGAAGAACCCCACAACTCAATTCCATAGATGCGTGTTGGTTTGATTATAGTTTTGTAAATCTGTATTTTGTTATGCAAGGACAGCTTTGATTGTCTGTTTATTAGCCATGACAATTTGAGGACTTTAAGCTGCGCTTCTTTTCTCTTAGTTTTGATGTGGGTTTTCCAAGTCAGGCGTCTATCCAAATGCATTCCAAGGTATCAGTTTCGTGGAGTTCTGTGTTGTTTAGTTTTACTTTTGGGCAATTTTCTTTTTTTAGTGAAAATGTTATGTGTTTTGATTTTGTTTCATTAAATGTTACTCGCCAACGAGGACTCCAATCTTCGATTTTGTTTATATGTTCTTGAAGATGTTGTGATGCACAGGGAGGATCTTTATTTGCAGTGAGAATAGCTGTTTTGTTTGCAAAGGTGGGTATTGTAGTTCTTTCTGTAATTGGTAAGTCTGAAGTTGATATAATATATAATATAATAGTCCAAGAATACATCCTTGTGCCCCCCTGCAGAAGTACGTTGTAATTCTGATAGGGCGTCTTGGTATTTCACTCTAAATAGGCGATCACAAAGATATTATTTGAGAAGTAAATACTAGGATTGCCGGAGAAGGTGTTTCATTTTAAAAAGGATTCCTTCATACGTACCATACCTTGGCGAATGCTTGTTGTATGTATAGGAATGTCTACCAAAATATAGATGCATAAAATAACTTATTTTCTTCTCTGAAACTTTACCTGGAATTGGTTCTCGGCTCTCGAATATTTAAAGCATTCTCCTCCCCGATTCATCTTTATTACTTACACAATAATAGTATACAGTATTAAAAATGATGTACACAGAGGTCTCTCCCTTGACAAAACTAACACATTGTAATTATATTTCATGGATTAACTTTAAAAACTGTATATAAACAATTAAAAAAGAATTACCAGTTGTTTTACTCTGCAGTGGACATTTTTGTTTGTTTCTTCAGTAACAATGTTTTTTTAAGTTGCCAGAAGCAAAGCGAAGAACAGTTTATTTGATACAATGCTTTTCCCATACTAATTGTATTACAAAGTATTACAAAGTTTTCGAACTTACTAAAAATTTTGAACCCTCATTGAAATGAATCACACTAAAACGTGATGTTAAATGAAAAATGGTAAGAAAACTTTTCTTTCATTTTCTCAAAAAAATTATCGTAAAAGTGGCTGTCGCTGTGGAAGACGTGTTAGAGAAAACTTGAAAATAACATTGAGGAAATAGGATTAACTGGAATTCGCAGCGAACGTCAAGCGTCAAGATAAGGCTTCTAAAATTTGTCGTCATGGACACAGCTTATAGTACTGATTCATATCTGTAGTATTTGGCTAGTTCTGGAACACGACATTGACCCTACCTAGTACATTACATGCTTCACTTTCCCGACTTGAACGCAAAGCATTTTGACCAGAGCCGAGTTAATAGTTGGCTGAACTGCGAAAAATCAAGCTAAGCAATCACGTGGTGGAAATTAACAATACATTGTGACAGATTTTTGTACTATTCTCAAATACAATGACGGGAATTACTTTTTACATACTTTACATAGTATAGACGTAACATAGTTATTCCCTTTTCTTAGTGCTCTTTTCATTCAGGCTTTTTAAAGAACTTTCCTGGGTCAAAGACATGCGTTTGTTCACGATATGTCAATGATATGTTGTGAAAATAAGAAGCTTTTTGTGTGCATTTAAGCCATTATAAGAAAAGGGTATTAAACTTCAAAAGCAGCATTACTCTTTTGAAGACATGCCAGTCTCAGAAGATGAAATAGAAGTGTCGTGGCAGTAATGTCCAAGTAAACAATACTTCACTCTAGGGACACAGTTGTTTTACGAAGTGGTTTAAACAAATATCTTTTGACTTGTTTGTTTCTTGATCTGTTGACATTATATTTGTAAGGTGTTTGAATTATTAATTTAATTTAGTTCAATTGCAGCCTTGACGGAATCTAAATAAATGAAGGAAATGTCGGCGAACATTTACAATTCAAAGGCAAGAGCGTTACATTTCTACATTAGATATATTTTCTCACCCAACGCTGTTGAAATGTTTAGGAATATTCTAATACAGTAGAAGCCCGGTATTCCGAACTAATAGTGGGTGTGGTCTGTTCGGATTTGGAAATGTTTGGAGTATCCCCCAAAAATGTACCGTATATATTTACAAATACATCTATGGGGTTACCAGACACAATGCAACGTATCGTGCGATATGAGAAAATGGCAACGTATCGTAATGATCGCATCATCACCCAGCATCATCAAGAAGATTCAGTTCCTTACAATAAAAGATTACAGTTTTACAAGTTCCTCTAAGTGAAAATTAGCTCTACATAAACATGTGATTGTAGTGACGATAACTACATCGTAGTTATCAGTGCAAACAAGTTTCATTTCGACAACTTGTTTCAATAATTAGTTGTTCACTTCTATGGTAAATATTAAATAATTTCTTTACACTACAAATAAGCATTTTATTTATTTCGTTTGTTTTTCCTCCATCCCGAATTTTGTTCAGATTATCCTAAATTTCGGATTTGCGGGGTTCGGATTAACGTACCAAGAAACAACTCTTTTGTCAAATTCTGCTCTTTTGTACAGTAATTATTTTGCCGGGAAAAAGAACCCTCGACATGAGAAAGAGGTGAGGTAGAAAGTTAGAAAAAATTATGCTGAAGATGGACTCAAGCTACATAAATTAGATTTTTAGTTGTACTTTTTCTCTTTCGTTTTTTTCAAATTCTAACTATAATCTCCATCTCTTTCTTTTCACACATTTCCCTTCTTTCTTTCCATTTATTTTTTAAAATTTTTTTCTTTCCTTCCTGCTGCCTATCTTGTTTTATTTTCTTTCTCTCGTTTTCTTTTTCTGTTTTCTTGTTTCATTCTCTCTCTCTCTTGTTCTTTCTCTTTCTTTCTCTTTATCTTTTCTTATCCTCTTCATCTTACTTTCTCCCCCTTTTCCCTCTTCCTTTCCTCCTTTCTTTGTTTCTGCTCCTCCTCCTTTCCTTGCTCGCCGGGCGCACGCGTGCGTGTCTGCACGCAGCGTGTCTGCGCGGTGGTGGTCGCGCCAGTGGCCTCGCGATTAAGGTTGAGGTTGCTGCGCCACTTGGCCCGCGGTGGCAGCGCGCCGCATCGCGCTATGGAGTGTCGCGTCGTCGCCGGTGACATCACACACGGGCGTTGTGAATGCCGCGGGGGCCGCCGCCGCCGCCGCCGCCGCCCAGGCCCGGGCTCCCGGCCAGAGGATGGCGATCGCGCTGCGCCGCGGAACGCCCCTGTCTACGCGCGAAGTGGACGTTGCGTTCGCTTGCGAATGTCCCCTAGGTTGACACACCAATTGCCAAGCGTTTTCCCCCCATTTTGCGAATGGATAATGATTTTGAAATAGACAAAATATTTCCATTTTCATGATAATAAATTTAGGCTATTTATTAACATGAAATAAGTTAAATATCACATTGAAACTAAACATTTAGTCCTTTAAAGTACGACGTTTAGTTGTAGTGGAAAGTGATAGAACATCTAAAACGTTATGGCACAATCTTCCATAAAATGTGAGGAGTGTTGAGTTACTTGTTTAAAACAATTGAAGACTACACAAAACTTCTTTTTATTCCATCCTACTTGTATTACAAAAGCTCAAAATATTACAATCATCACGATCTTTAGAAACAAAAGAAAATGCCGTTATTGTACGCATAAAAAGTTATATGTTTAACAAAAATATTACGTCATTTAATACCGCGTAGGGTTTCCATTTGCTTTCAATATTGCTCTCAGCCTCCGTGGCATGGATTTCCCCACATTCGCGGTGTCAATTAAACTTCATTCTCTTAGGAGAGCATTATAAGGACTTATTTTTCCTTTCGTCCGAAAATACGACTGAATTTCAAAAGTACAATCCTTTATTTCGGTATTCACTTGTAAAATTTAATACTTTTTCCCGAATATCATACCCTTTTCCGTACAAATATTGAGCACTGTACTAGCTGATACTTCAACTTCACATTCTTTAATTTATCTCCAAACTTCACAGTACTAATTTTGGGGCCCTTCGTAATTTTTCGAATATCTGCTTTACTGAACACTTTTGGCCTCCCTGTTTGGGGACGATTTCTCACAGTTTCATGAACATAAAACGTATCAATTTTACATTGTACCATATAATGGAACGAGTTCTGGTCCATCAAAGAAGTCATTTAAAAGTTCAGAGCAACACACCATTGGTGAGTTGTTTTGCGAGGGGAAGAAGTGAATTGTTAGTTTTCCTTGGTTTTTTATCTTGAGTTAAAAGTTCAGAGATTTTTGAAAAGATTTCCACTTTTTGTGCAATTTCGTGATTACTATCCTTGCAGCGACAAAAGTTTCTGTGTGGTTGCTGCCCATTTTCACCTTGCAACTTTTTGCTGAGGAGAGGCCAGGACATGCTTCTTATCAGTGGTCGCCGAGCTCAATGAATCAATAGAATGTTGGCAAATCATTATTGCTAACTTCAATTCAACTCATTATTTCGACTGAACGATCATTTCTGAGCCTAGTCTGCACGCAAAACTGTGACATTTTGTTTTAAGTTTAGAATTAATCTTTTGATTTTACTGCCATTTAAACACAAAATTTTAACATTCTTTGTACTTTACCTTAACATTCTTTACGAAATCCATGTTTTGGTTTTAAGCAGGCAATATAGTTTCTAACGCTGTAAGTTACGATCACTTTGGCATAACTGTAATGCACAAACACTTCCGGTTTTGCATTCTTCAAAATTTAAGCTATAGACTCGGTCTCCTGGGCAACACCCCAGTTATTTTTGACGTCTGCAATTACTGTAGATAATCAACTGAAGATGAACTCTTTGGTAATCTTCTTTGATTTTTTGTTGAAGTATTCGTGACACGTATTTTTGCTACATAACTTTGGTCGTAATAAGTATACGTGTAGCCATGCGTAGGGACTTCTTGTATATGTCAGTGATCGAATATTTTATCGAATCAATTACTAGATTGTGTACAGAACTTTTAAAGAATAGAGTTTAAAAAAGTTTTATCGCCCATTTTATTTGTAGTTAGTCATACTATTCAACTGATGATCGTAGGAACATTGAAGAAACACTAAGCGTAACTTTGATAACTATTTAATTTATTCTTTTGATATTTTCGAATATTACTTCAATTCCATTTCACAACTTGCTTGCTCGTTGATCTTCTGAACGAATGAATAATGCATAATTGAATTAGAATATTTTTTTAACCCTTAGGATTCAAATATTAGAAGGTCCGAATATTTCTAATTTAAAAACAGAATAAATAATTATTTTGGCAGCTCATTAGATTAGTTGTCTGAACATTCGATCAAATTTTGAGATTCCATCGAATACCTAAATATGTGTAAAGAGCTTAATCTTGTAATACACAACTAACATACTCTGAGCCACATGTGACGTGCGGAAGTGAGGGGGCGGACAACGCTCAAAATCTGCATTATAGGCATCATTAATTTATGTTGAAATAATTGGATATCGGATGTTTTACATATGTATCAAATGGGCATAATTTCCGACTACAGGCGAAAATATACGTTTACTTTAAAATTCTTACTTCTTGCCAGGTTCTGCAAACAATCCTTCGCACAAGAAAGAGCTTCTTCGTACTCATAAATTAATTTCTAGTTCACGTGCATCCTTTATTAGCAATGACACCCTACTTCGGTGCAGCTCGTATGTCCTTGACCCGTGACGATCGAACACAAGCGTCGAGGTCGCTATGCGTGATTTGCCGTGCGCGTAACTCATCACCACTCGCGCACGCGCGCTACCCCTACTTTTGCTTTCCGTAGTCACCGTCACCGTCACCGTCACCGTCACCTATCATCGTCGCCGCCACCACTGCCCACCGCAGTCACCGTCGCCGTCGCCGTCGCTGTCGCCGTTGCCGTCGCCGTCGTCGTCCACGCTGCTGCCGTTTGAGGCGGCCGCGCGCATTTGTAACGATAGAAACCGTTGTGACGCACGTGGTCACGGGTCGGGTTTAGAGGTGTAAAAATTTGTGCCTGGCAGGAATGTAATGTGTTCTTTGGTAATAGCATGAGTATTCCTTTGTAAAGCAATGTCCTATAAGTGGAAAATTACACAATTTCACAAATCGTCGGTGTTAGCGAAATGTCTCTGAAATAATCTCCAAAATAGTAATTTTTAGTTAGTACAGTTTTTGTTCAGTTACTCTGCTGTAAAAAAGCATATTTAAGACTAAATAGTTTTAGAAATGCTATATTTACACGACTGTTCATTCTACTGACCTTGGAAGTTACTCAATCTGGAACCCTGGAAGTAAATCAATAGAAAGAATTTTTATATAACTCTAAGATATGTATGCAAGCACGTGCTGTGAAGTGGCCAACTATGGGCTTATAACTGTAAAAATGAATGAATTGTCAAAAAATAACACTTGACTAGTTTTTTAGCTTCGTTGCCTTTTTGTCAGTAAAAAATTGATTTTCGTTAAAGTATGCATGTCAAGAATATTGAATAGTTTTTCTTTTGAAACGCATGATGTGCATTACTGCAAGGTATGCTGACTTCGTTATCTTTTATAAATTAAGATATATCTCTACTTCTTTAGTACTTACATTTAGTATATTAATAATGGAAAATTGTATTTTTCTGGGGATATTTATCTTATCCTTTCCGCGCCTAATATTGATAAAATATTATGGATAAGTGAATTCAAGGGATTGGAGTATTGAGTAGTTTTATTTATTGAAGATATTAAAAAGCGTTAAATTATTGCATTGCTTTTGCTTGCATTGCTTTCTAACAACTTACATCACCGGTGTGCAAATACTGCTCTTCGTTGATTCAAAAGCTGATTCCATTTAAGAGTTTTTATATTTTATTTTAATTTTTAACATTCTGATATAATCAATAATGGTTATATTCTGTGCAAAACACTTAATTTTTTCTGGAGAATGTAGCAATTTTAATATAATTAAATTAAATTTGAATATCATGTATTTAAGGTCTGGCCTTTGTAAAATGAAAACTACTAAAACGTCCATTGGTCTTATGTACGTCTACGTCTGATTTATTCAGTTCCATTGCCTATAAACGCCGCCCATAATTGAGCATTTTATTGACGTAAACAAATTACACGAATTAAAATTACCCGTGCGCGTTTCGTTATCGCGCGGGGGCGTCGCCGGCTGCATTGGCAGTGTCGGCACGCGTCCGCGACCTTCACCGCGTGCCGCCGACAATTTCTCCCACGCGCCGACCAACGGGGTCGCACGCCGGCCAGCACGCCCATTAGCTTGGGCTTCACGTCCGCCAAAGGTATCTTTAGACTGGAGGCGAGATTGTGGGTGTCTAAAATAAACGACGACTCGCTGAACACTTGCGATTACATCTCATACGAGGAAGAACTGTAGAAAAGGTAGAACAGAAACGAATTATAAAAATATTGTTTCATGTCGTTCAGAGCTTATTCTTCAAGACTGATGAAATAAGAGGGTGTTAAAACGTCTTGGAGGGGGGTTAAACCTTCTGGAACAAAACAAACGCTATTCATGGCTCAGAGTTAAACTTGTTTCTACAAATTTAATTGAAAAGTTTTATAACTATCTGATCTGAACGTGTATGTTGTTGTGGATTATTGCAGAAAAGTCTTTTATCCACATTAACTTAAAAATGTAATGCTTTACATAAAATAAATCACCGAACAGTTTATATAAATTTGGTTCATAAACTTTTAATATTTGCATTTAAAATCAGTCATCTTCGAACTAAGAAACTCGTTATTTTTGTTTCGTTTGCTATAACATTACACTTACTTTTTCTCATGCTAGGTGACGACATGTTGACTGCTTTCGATTGAATGATTGCAACACCCACAACAAAACGGAGGTATGAACAAATAACGACAGATAATAGTTCATTCTATTAATTTTGAGATATTAATAAACGTTAGTGTTTTTAAACTTAATAAACGGTTAAGAAAGAGCAGGTGATAACACTTGGTCCACTTGCATTTATTCAAAGAAAAATGAAGAAATTCAATTTGTGTGGAAAATTGGAACTTCTTTCTAGAAGAAAATCATTACGTTTCAAACACAAATACTTGTATAAGATAAACAGACCTAATTGAAATAAATGTACAAAATAAATTGTCCTTTCCACACGTACTTTGTACAAAGAGAAAAGAGAGTATTTCACAATATTACGATAAATTAAGCTATTAATGTACCTCACTTTCTAATAATTTCAATGCTGTTTTAGTACATTTGCCCTCAAAGATGGAAAATAAAATGTCTACCGTAGTACCGGCTAATTTGTTTTGGTGTTGACAATATAATGTTGTTGTGCTTACATGATTGTAATGAATCGTATGGATTTCTGCGAAATGATATGACCATTTAAAGAAATTCATAAATGAGGAAATTTCGTGAACAACATAACTTCAGATTTTGGATGTGAAAAGAAGCCGAATTCGTAGATTGAGGGTAAATGTAAGTAAGAATGACAAAAATGAATTAGTTAGTTAATGTAATGAAGAACAACATTGCCGAATCATTGAAGTGTCAGCTGTGTCATGTGCGAATTTACGACGCTGTAGCAATCGAGAAATTCCATTATTAGCGGAAACTTCAATGCATGGTTAAGAACAAAACCCAAAACTTCTGCGTAATACGCGTACGTAGCAATTTTACAATGTTCTTGACAAAATAAAAAAATGTATTTGTAGTATATTAATGCGACTTTCTATAACATAATTACTATAGACACGTGAAAATTTTAATAAAATTCTTTATTCAAAGACTGTACTTTAGATTTTATTCGAGAGGCTGAAGATAAGTCTCAAGTCTTTCATCACTCCAAATTTAACATCGAAAAGGCGTAGTGTGTGGTAAAGTAGTCATAATATTGTGATGTTGGCCATGAAAGTGATGGTAAATTGCTTTTACAAATAAAAAAGTCATGTTTGAAATAGCATGCTTGGAAGAATAAGTTGATGGAGGGTTTTTTAAATTTTTTTAAATATTTTATTTTTTTAAAGTCGCTTTTCAACATCTTGATCATACAGTGACCACCGTGATTTTTAAAATATAAGGGGAACTGTAGGGAGAACACGTAAGGACAACACAAACCCACACAAACATCCATGCCTGAGACGGGATTCAAACTCGCGGCCCTTGCCTAATTCGAGTCAGCTACGCCCTTTCAGCCTTAACAGCCGGTAGTGGGTGTGTTTATTACATACGCAGGGGTCCGAAACTTGTTGAAAATTGGAGCGGTATAATTTTGATTATGTTTTTATTTTTATAAATATTCTATTTCTACTATTTTCCACTTTCATAAATTTGATTTTACTCAAGTTTGTGTTTTATTACAACAAGAGTATTAATTCGCCATTAATTTTTATTTTGTCCACCAGAAAATCAAAGCAGTACTGGTTTAAACAGTTTACACTTTACTAATTAAATACTCATTAACCATTGCAGATTCATGACCATGTAAGTAAATTTAAGGATGTTCCGGATCGTGGAATTTGGTCGCCGTTTAATTCAACACGTTATTACATTTCTCTTTGTCTACGTTTCTTTTCCCTTTCCATCTTCTGGGAAGATAATACAAAATAGTAATAAGGCTGTTAATATAAGATTAAGACACAGCACAAAAATTATTACATATTTAATTTTGATGGTTATTTTTAAATAATTCAACTGGTATCAATCTTATTTATTCACGGATTATATATTTCATCATTGCATCTCCAGACATTACTTGGTTATGTGACGAAAGTCTATTTTCTTATTTACAGTGTAATATGATTCTCAAAATATAAAACAAATTTTTTTCAACTGCGAGAATCAGAGTGAATACTTGAGATTAGAGTCGATTTTTTAAAAATATTCCATTTCAATGTAGATTTCGTTTCCTTACTGACAAGTAGATAATATTTTGATATAATACGAGTATATTTGCATAGGAAATTATTGTAAAACTGTTATCATTCTGAAAATTTAATTTATGCTAACTTTGTTCAGTGCTTGACGATTTTAGATGTCATACCATTTTAACGCAATTTGAAAGTGTAAAAATTATCAAGAATGTCATTGAAGATGTCTGTCAGTATTTATGTTACGTTTTTACTATCTTTGAATCCGTCCTGACTAGATCCTTGTTAATTTATTTAATCTAAGGACTGAAAATGAAAATGTACATAATTATTATGTAAACAGTAACCTATTTAAGTAATGGAAATTATATGTCATCAAATATGATAAACTTTAATGCATTTTAAAAAGGCATTATTTAAAATGTCTTAGAAATTCAAAGAAAACTCTCGTAACCACTGTCTCCATTCTCCTGCAACGGAGTGCGTGCTCGTGAGGCATCGCTGGCGGTTTCTCTCACGGCGGACTGCGAGGTGTGGGCGACCGCTGCGTGAGCGCATCCGCAGAAAGTAAAAGCGGTGCAGAGCGAGAGTGTTGCGATCGGCATGCGCCCTAATGAAGGCGCCTGATTGATCGCCCGGCGCGGCGCGGCGCGGCGCGGGCGGTGCGGTGCGGTGCTGTGCTTCGCTACGGAATGCGCCTCGCCGTTTGACCTCTCTCGGCCTCGCGAACCGCTCCGCGCCTTCCTTCTCCCTTTGGGAGGGGCTTTTCCAATTGCAATACTCCTCCTCGTCTCTCTTTCTCCAGTCGCTTTTTTTGAGTGTGAGGAAGACTTGAATACTTGCGGGAATTGAATTACCGTGGACATAATTCTCGGAAATGTAGTGCGTCTTATATTCCAGAAGATGACGAAGTCCTTCTTGTCACGTGACATCCGACACCGAACCACGCATCGGTTTGCAGTATTTCTGCAATGAATATGTCTCCCTTAGCGGAGCACCGCTTCCGTCAGGACAAATTCAGATCTCCCAACATGATGTGAGAGTGCAGCACATCTTAGTGCGCGTGTGTGTGTGTGTGGGGGGGGAGGGT